ATTCCCTCCTAATCCCCTGTGGACGCGTGTCGGATTCTGTTGATTAGTCCTAATCACTATCAAATCTAATGATAATTAATTAATTAGAAAACTCATTATTAGTGATCCTAAAGACGATTTACTTGGTCTTTCTTTAGTCCTAATTACAGTGGTCTTGGTCAGTTAAAAAAACTATGTAAATTGCCAAGTTGAAAACTAACGATGTGAACTTATTACCCGCCGCCAATTAGTTGCTTCACCTTACCCTGTCAGTAAATTTGAAATATCATCTATATATAATATAAAAAGAGAATCTATGCCCTCAATGATTGACATGTGGCAAATGATGATGTCATTTATCAAAATTGCTTAGTTGGAGTTCAATTGATGAGGTGGATTCTTCAATTGGTGAGTTGTCAATTTTATTTTGGTATGTATTTAAGTTATTTCCTATTTAACATTTATACACTCATTTAAACAATTACCACATGTATATATATTATTTCCAAAGTTAATATTTTATAAATTCGAAAAAAAAAAAAGTCTTATTTATATTTTCAGTATTTCAAAATATATTTATTGAAAAAAATCATGATACTCAATTTTTTTACGAATATTCAAATAATTTTCAGAAAAAAAAAACATTTTTTAATATCCAAATATTAAAATAAAGGAATACAGTTGTTTTTTTTTTTTTTTGAATTTTCAATATTTTAGAAATTTGAATATCTATTCCATTAAAAATAATTATAAAAAAAATATTTTATTTTTTTAATTGTACTATTTAATCTATATATCTATATATTATATAAAAAGAGGATCTATGCACTATTTGAATAATATCTATATTTTATTTCTCAAATCGCTTAGTTGGCACGCAATTGATGATGTGTAATACTCAATTGCTTATTAGACAATTTAATCTTGGTATGTTTTTCAGTTATTTCATATTTAATATTTTCACATTCATTTAAAAATTACCACATATACATATTCTTTTAGAATTTTACATTTTAAAAAGTAAAAAAAAAATATTATTTCACTTAATTAATTTTTCAAAAAAAGTAATATGCTTATTTTTTCATTATTTTGTTTAAATTTGTAATTTAAATAATTATGTTAATAAATTTGTGGTTTGAATACAATATATATATATATATATATATATATATATATATATATATATATATATATATATATATATATATATATATATAGATATGTAGATATATACATATATATATATATCTCTATAGTTCACGGAAGATTTAGAAGGCGCAAACGTGCGACACGCAGTGACAGTGGGGGTTATACAGATTGAGATATATGGGCTCCTCTCCTATATAGATATGAGAGCATGTAATTTTCTTTTTGTTTTATAAAATATA